TTGAGCGACGATCATCCTTTGAGTAAGCCCAGTCTGTGTCTGAGTACCCGACGATGGTTAATATGTCGTTGGGTCTAATATGAAGGCCGATATCAGTTGTTCTTTTTAGATATCTGAGCACTCTTTTCAGGGCTTTCATGTGAATATCGGTCAGTCTTTATATGAACTGACTAAGTTTGTTGACGATGAACGATATATCCGGCCTTGTATTAGTCATATATTGAAGAGATCCTATCATTTTTCGGTAGGGAGTCGGATCAGTCAGTTCTTTCTTTTTTCGACAGTTATATTACTCCCAATCACTGCTAGTGTATGACATGGTTTGGCAAAGTGCATGTTGTTTCTTTTAAAGAGTTTTTCAATGTATTTTGTTTGAATGAGGAAGAGTCCAGTGTCATCACATGTTGCTTTGATGCTGAGGAAAAGATGGATGTCACCGAGATCCTTTAATGCAAACAAATCATGAAGTTGACTGATAAAGCTTTGCATCTTCTCAGGCTTATTTCCTGTAATAATTATATCATCAACATAGATCAATATGAAGATTTTAATTGTTTCAGTGACAAAGAAAAAGAGAAATGTGTCTGCTTGTGAGTTTTTGAAGTCTCATTTGAGTAATGAGGATTTGAGCTTGTCAAACCAAGCTCTTGGGGCTTGCTTGAGTCCATAGAGTGTTTTGTTGAATTGACAAACATAATTGGGATGTATAAGATCTTCGAAGCCTTTAGGTTATTTCATAAACACTGTCTCTTTTAGTTTCCATTTAAGAAGACATTATTCACGTTCAATTGTTTGATGTTCCACCCATTTGTGACTGCCAAAATCAGTATTACTTGAAGCGTTGATGCCTTAATCACTCGGCTGAAAGTTTGCTGAAAATTTATGTAAGGTGTTTGATCGAAACCTTTGCCACTAATCTAGCTTTATACCATTGAAAACTTCCATCAACATTCGTCTTGATTTTGTAGACCCATTTATTTCCAACAAGATTCATTTCGGGACGATAAGGAACCAACTTCCAAGTCTGATTGTTTATGAGGGTGGTCATTTCTTCTGCCATTGCCGATTTCCAGTCAGGGTTGTTAATGACTTTTGTGATTGAAGTGGGTGTTGTGAGATTATTTACCTTTGTTGCTATACCTTTGTTGCTATGAATAATTAAAAGTCGACCACCTCTCTCTCTCTTTTCCCCCTTTTCTTGTTTTTTTTTTCATTCTTTTTTATATACTCCCATCTCCATCAAATCCTACCCATTCATTCTAGCGCTCTAATCCCCACCACTCAATTGTTTGACTCTCCCCCACTTTGACTCTACTAAAATATTACATATTATATCAATCTATACACGTATTTTATGAAAATATATTCGTCTTAACTTATTAAAGTAAAAATTATATATTTAATTTTTATTTAATATAATAATATATATTATATTATACTAAAAATTTATGTTGACTTTAACAATTATTCTTTCGTGAGCTTGTGAGAGAAAATAAATAATAGTGAAATATTTATAATTTTTTTTAATTAAATGGTTAATGTTTTTATTATATTTGTTAAAAATATAATTTCGTGTATTAATTTATTGCATATCTGGTCATAATTATCTAATATAAAAAAGTGAGGTACTTCCAAGAACCTCCCTATGCACATGATATGTGAATAAACATACGTACGTGTGTGTATATACTGGGAGCCCAGGTAGACGACACGAGCAGCTCTGCCCTGTTTTTCTTCGTATGATAGTCACTCTCAAGTGGTGTGTGGTGGGGCCCCGGAAGATATAATATATTCCATCATAATTATAAATCATTGTATATTCAGACAATACCAATCATTATATTTTGCATTTAATATAAACTCACGTGTTTAATTCTGAGCCATTCATTAAATGTTAGTTGGTTATAGGTATGGTGGAATCCAACCACACGATCACTTTTACATTATACTACGAGTTAATTTACTTTCGAATTTGGATTTGCTTTAACTCTACGTTCTTTATTTTCTACTTTAATTAAATTCATTTTTTCAATAAATAACGTAATAATCACGGTATAATATCTAAATATTCAGTTAATTATTAATATAAAAAATAGAATAAATATTAATTTTTAAATCAAATTTATTTATTTATAAAAAATAATTGGAAGAATTGTAATTTATTGTAGATTTATTTTTATTTTAATGCAGGTATATTTACAACGTAACGTTAACATAATAATAGTGGGCCTAATGGGCCTAGTGGGCCACTGAGATCACTTATAGTTGGGCCACTTTGGGTTTGGGTTACTTACTTTCGTTCTTTCGTTAAACGTGAGAAATAGGTCAGGCCCAATGGTTTGGGTCACGGATACGTGTTCTCTCCGCAACGCGGTGGCATGAAGTTTCTATAACTTTGCAGGTCTAGCACTTAAAACCCGAGGCCGTATTACTATCAGCGCTTTTAAGCAGGAAGGCAAGGAAAAACCCTAGGGTTTTAGGAGCTGCTTTCCACGGAGAGGAAATGGGTTTCTGGGGTCAGTTCTCTAATAATTCAACGGGAGTCAACTTTTGTTTTATCGATTATATCTTCTGATACTTCTTTTCTCTTCTGATTTTCTATGGCGAATGCTCTTGGACGTTTCCGGCATTGAAATTGCTGGAAAATTAACACGAGAATGAAATAACGATTTTAGTGTGTTATACTACCATCTTTTCAAGTGTTTGTAGGATTATAAAATTTTCCTGAATTCTTTCGATGATTTTTCCTGCCACCAAGTATACCATTCAGGCAAAATTTTTTCAGGCACTATTTAGTTCGCGACGAATTAAAATAAGGTTATATAGGAGTTGTTGGTATTAGTTGGTCTTTCATTGCTGAATAATGCCGTGTTTTTTTTTTTTTTCCTGTTCATGCGATTTCCCAGCAACCAAGTAGGATGGGATGTTTCTTGTTGTCCTTTGATTAATCATTTTTATTTTTCTGCATTTTTACTTTTAAACCAGGCATTGAAGTAAAACCGGGAAAGCCACACCCTTATCATTCTGACAATGTCCGAGGAAAGCTGCACGTAACGCAGGTATGTTGCTTCTTCTGAAACAAACCTCTTTTAGTGATTCAGTTGTCGGTTAAATAATTGACAATGTTTGACTTTTTAAACATTCTTTAATGTGAACCCAATTCAAGAATTGCTTCTTGATTCTGACTCAGGCAGCTCTTCTTTTGAAATTGAAATTAAAGGATTTCGAAAGTAGTTTGAATCAAATTTTCATGGTTTTATTTATTTGAATTTCGTAAATGCTTGTAATATTTAAAATTTATTTAGTTTGATAAATAAAAGTTCTACTGCCACTTTCTCAAGTGACTTTGATGTTCTAATATCTAATTTGGCAGCTTATTATTGTGCATAAAATTTCCATGATAATTCAGGCAACATTAGGTGCTGGTTCATCAACGGAGAGGACTATACTTCAGTGTTCTATAGGGCATAAGAACCCTATTTACTTATGTTCTTTGTTGCCTAACAAAAATGAGTGTTGCCCTTTGAATCTTGAATTTGAGGACAATGATGATTTAGTAGCCTTCTCAGTGATTGGCCCGCGAAGCGTCCATCTCTCTGGTTACTTTGTGTCAGAAGATGGAGATCAC